CGAACTGCATTTCCCTCCAATCTTCAAATTCAAATATCCTTCGCCTTTAGTGCTGACACGAAGGTTTATTCTTCTAGTCGAAGGCCACATGACCTTTCCCGTCGAAGGCTTGATGGTGATGTCTGGTCGAAGACCAATTTGTAACTGAGATATTTTCTCTAAGTTTTTCCATCCGTCGAAGCATTTTCCAGCTTGGCTTTATCTGCTCTACTTTTGGTCCATGGGGCCAATATATAGTAGGTGTCGATTTCAAGAGCCAACAGTCGTCAAACTCTAACTCGTCATCTTCTTCTTCTTCCTCAACGACATCTACTTCTACTTGTTCGGCCTCGAGAGGATCCACCACTTGTGACAGCTGAGACTCTCGTGGCACAATGTACAACTCAATAGAGTCGTACCCAGAATACTCATGACTGGAAAACATATTCTGAAGGTCCTCGTAATCTTGAACCTCAACCTTATAAAATATTATTTGGTTGTTATAAAAAAAACCGGATTCTGATAAAAGATTTGTGTCACGGGACCTCGTCCAAGTTTGGCCTCAAATCGTTTTTTGAAATACAAGAAATTGGCTTTCATGTTTAAACAAAATCAGATGTTCTCAGTGTCTCTAAACAAAAACCCAGAGATGGGACAAATGTATGTCTCACCGTTGAAATGTGCACTGATCACATATTATGGTGCATAGGCCATTGTGTTTGAATGTTTGAAGGTTTGGAGGTTTGAGTGTTTGAGTCTTTGAGTGTTCGAGTATTTGAGCGATTGAGTGTAGAAGTGTTTTGATAAATGTATGATTAAATAGGTTATATTGAATTTGAATAAAACAATAGTAATCAACCTCTAATTCGCCAATTGGGATGTCCAATTGTATTACATGCATGCAAAGATGTCTTCCTCAAGGCTGTCAACTAGCCTGCATCTACACTGCAACTCATGCCACCTCTAATTCACCAACTGGGATGGCGACATCTTTCAATTTTGTACTCATTCGTCAAGTCCAATGGCGTCTCCCTACACGTCCAATCGTATTACATGCATGCAGAGATGCCTTCCCCAAAGCTGTCAACTAGCCTGCACCTACACTGCAACCCATGCCATCTCTAATTCGCCAACTGGGATAATGACACCTTTCAATTTTATACTCATTCGTCAAGTCCAATAGCACCTCGCTACACATCCAATCGTATTACATGCATGCAGAGATGTCTTCCCCAAGACTGTCAACTAGCTTGCACCTACACTACAACCTATGCCACCTCTAATTAGCCAATTGGGATGAAGACACCTTTCAATTTTGTACTCATTCATCAAGTTCAATGGCGCCTCCCTACACGTCCAATCATATTACATGCATGCAGAGATGCCTTCCCCAAGGCTGCCACCTAGCCTGCACCTACACTGAAACTCATACCACCTCTAATTCACCAACTAGGATGGTGACACCTTTCAATTTTGTACTCATTCGCCAAGTCCAATGGCGCCTCCCTACACGTCCAATCGTATTACATGCATGCAGAGATGCCTTCCCCAAGGCTGCCACCTAACATGCACCTACACTGCAAGAGGGACACTTATCATGCAAGCATGCACCCATCAACCACCTCGTTTATTCACTCTGATAAAATTTTACCTATAAATACAGAACCTCACATACTTCTTTTGCATCAATAATCATCTCACTCTCTGCTACAAACTCTTCCATAATCTCAAACAATTTCAATTATGACTCTTCTCATAATGGGTGATTCTCACAGAGGCACAAGAGACAACATTGCAACGTTTGTAAGTTTCTTGTATAATTATAAATTTTTTATACTGCTATTAATGATTTATACATCTTATGGACTCTTACACTTCTTATATTTTAAAATTAGGATACTAAAAGATTCAGAATTCGGTCACACAACTACCTTGCTCCCGACCCGTTGATCGTACCCTATCTCGAATATGCAGGTTTCAGAAATGTTATAAAGATCTCCAACTGTACGATTTATTCAAAGTTCATACTTGCAATGTTGGAAAGGTGGCGACCAGAGACCCACACATTTCATTTACCAATAGGTGAATGTACCGTCACACTAGAGGACGTGTACATGTTATTGGGTCTCCCTGTCGACGGTAAGGCGGTTAACTGGTCGGCTCAACAACCCAATTCTCCGTGCAAGGAATTGTTGGGTAAGGATATGGTTGAAGGTGGTGGTGCTAGAGGTCAGGGTATACTACTTACTGAACTCAAATTATTATGCGACTCTGGAGTTAAACGAAAATTCCTCAGAGCTAGCTAAAGTAATAAAAGCTAAAAATTATATAATGATATTTTTTGGAACCTTTTTATTTCTCGAAAGTACGGGGAATAGTATAAATTTCATGTATTTAAATTTACTTAGAAACTTTGAAAAAACTAGAAAGTATAGTTGGGGTTCTGCTGTTTTAACCCATCTATACAGTTCTTTGTGTAAAAATGCGACCAAGAAAAAATGTACTTTTTATGGATGTGCTTTCTTACTTCAAGCCTGGGGTTGGTGGAGAATGGAGTCCCTAAATCCCGTCAACAACAACGTATTCGTTTTTCCATACGCAACAAAGTAAGTCAATAACTTATTTCATTTATTATTAATTTGTTCACCAAATATATGATAAAAATAAACTATTTTTCAATTCCTTTAGATACTGCGTGACGGGTATGGATTACGGCAAGAATCTAAGATTCAATATCGCTCTATATCGCAATCTATTGGATCACCTTGGTCTGGATGATGTGCGTCATACCTTTGAACTTTTCTACTTTTAAATTATTTATTTATTACGTTTTCATTAAGCTGATTTAATTTTATCCACAATTTATCTTGAGACTATATTTGGATTTGGACCATGAAGTAAACTTCCAGGATGTAGTAATTTGGAGCGCAAAGACTGCAATCATACTGTTCAATGTTATAGAGATGCACCACAGCGACCGTGTCAAGATGCAGTTTGGAATGCATCAAGAGATGCCATGTGATCCAACTTGTTTGTTCCCGTGGCATCTCAAAAGGGTCGACGTCCAATGGGGTCTTACCAACTGGAAAGATTTTGCTCCAGAATGGTGTAAGATGTGACAGAGGCGTCACCGACATGTCTTGCAATTCCCAATTTTTCTCAACCATGGTAATATGCGACACACAAATCAATATTTAACTTGGTACAGATCGGTTAGTAACCCAAAAATGCACGTGTCTCATCCAAGGTATTTGGTTGACCCACAAACAGAATGAGCACAACCCACATTTCCCCTACAACAAACACAACACACATCAACCTCCCACCAACCTCCCCGACGAAACAGAATCACAACCACCCAACCACAACCACCACCGCAATACGAATACACCCACATGCCCCACAACCAACCATAATCACCACCTCAATACCAATACCCCACATGTCCCACACCCAACCATAATTTCAATCACAATACCAATACATCCGCATGCCCCACCCACAATTTCAGTCTTCTCCATATCCCAATATGGACCTCTCAACATCTAACCTTAGTCATGATCTGGAATTTTCCGAAGAATATGATCCAATCGACCCAACTTACCATCAACCACCATATCACCAAAGCACCCAACATTCCCAATACCAAACACCCAGGGATTCATTTTCTTTCTACCCCTTACTCAGACGACCAGTGTTATAGGCCAACCATGGAACCCCATCCACCACCAAGACGATCAAACTTTGAGGGTATAGGTAACTGACTGTATCAAAGCGGATCTTCTAGATATGGTGATCTGACTGATTTCATGGATCAAAAACGCATTGACTTTGCTGGGCCATCGATCCTGCCACAACAGGAAACACAGGTCGTTACCGGGTTCCAGGAGACCACTGATTATTTTATATTTTTTTATGTAATCGTTTTTTGTAAATAAAAAGTCAAATTTTCGTGATCCTATATCGTTTACATAAGATCCCGCATTTAAAATAAAAAACGCAAAAAATCGTCTCCCCTTTGCACTAAGACGCCATCTCACTTGGCTTATAGCACACTTTTAACACGTAGGCGCCAAGTAAGATAGCGCCTCCCCTTTAAAATAAGGTGTAGACACCAATTGAGATGGCTCCTCCTCTGTGGGGTTTTCTGAAACATGATTATTTGCGTAATTTTCTCCGAAACATGGTTATTTACGGAAAAAAATTTCAAAACCTGATTATTGCAAAAAAAAAATTCAATAATATTTGCCAGTGTTGTAAACTTTAAATACCAAGTGTAGCAAATTCTCATCTCTTCATGTAATTCAAGCTGTGTTTTTTATGTAAGAAAAAAAAAAGAATAATATGAACAACTGGTGGGCCTTTAAGTACTCAGGCTTCAAAAGCTGGTTTTACAATCTGATATTTAATGAAGCTAATTTTAAGATTTCAGGTCATCAAATACTTGTCCATTTTTATTGTTTCTTATACACAATCAATATTTATTTGTACAAATCATCAACTTGAACAATAATTCATGTATTTATTAACTCAAAATGGCTTTCAGGTCCAATTATTGCAATGTTACCAGAGTCAAAAGCCACTAGCCACTATGACAGTGGCGGCGCTTCCATGCATCAATATAATTTAGCTCTGCTCATCACTAAGATTAATATGAAATCCTCCTCCTCCTTTGGGAATGCCTGGTCAAAAGGATGTGGATACTTGTTATGAACTTTCTACAATATCAAAAAGGACCGTTGTCATCCACACAACACTTCCTATGTATTGTGTAATATAAGACAACTATGTGGACTTGTTGGACTTCTGAAAGCAAATAGTCCATGCATTTGGTTTAAACTTTGAAGCAATCCATTGAGACACTTCTTGGAGAAAGTTTCTGTGTAGCCTTTTCATGACAAACCATGTCAAGAACATGCATACAATACCGACAAGGTTAAGAAGACATGACATATATATAAACATACATGCATCAACTCAAAATTGCTCTTACCAGAGCCAGGACTGGTGAATCTCTGCCATTAGACAAGGTAGTAATCGGACAGGAGAGCAGCTCCGATGACAACTGACAAGCACAATAAACTTACAACATCTCCCATCCCAAAAGATGATTCGGACAAGAAATAAATTTTGTGAGTTTCCACGTCCCCTTTAAAACCTCTAGCTATCATAGCCTGCAGTACTTTATGTCACACTATCAGAAGATAAACTATGAAGTGTTCATTCATGATGATAATGGATGCAAACAGCAAATTAGCACCAAAATGTCAGAGTGAGTGGTAAAAGGCCTACTATGTCACTGGAAATTGAGTTTTGTAAAATGTATGGCTAATTGAATGAAAGTAATTTTTTTCTAGAACTCGGCATTGTTGATGAAATCAACATACAGTTCAATATATGCAATCAACACGGGCAAATTTCTAAACCATTTTTTCTTTTCATAATATTCATCGGTTCTAAAATGAGCTGGGAAAATGATAAAAGTTGATGCACTTTCAAGCAACAATGACAAAGCAGAAAGGTAAGAAAAAAACATTGTACATCTATGACGAACCTGAGAAATCTGCTCTGCATGGCTGAAAATATTTTTGAAGATGCGACGGAAGTAGTTAAAGAAAACTGCAGTCATATAAGGTAAAAAAATTAAATTAAAGAAAAAAATTACAATGAAAAAATATCTCAAGTAAAGCTTGAATAATTTGGAATTCTAGGTCCTTTAAAACAAGGTACATTGTATATCTAGTAGTACAACTTTCATGTCTTGGATAATTTTGTTCAGAATCAGATTGGCATTGATTATTATGCCGACATGCCATATAAGACTACAGTAGCAGCATGCCGTGTAACACTAATTCGGCATGATATTATGCAACAAATATATTTGTGTGGAAAAAGAAAATGTTACACCATTAATAGACCTTATCATATGGTGTTAATTACCAGTTTAATTGACCTTATCATAACATGCGGCTTTTCCTTTTATAAATTTTTAATGACCCACAATTTGTCCCAATCAAATGTGAAGCTTATAGAATGTAAATGAGATTTCTGCACAGCCATTATTGAGATGATACCCATCATCTATCTAGGAGGTTGGATAACAAATAAGTGACAAGAAAACAGGACCATTTTTTTATGATTCCTGGATACAAGAGAAAGAGCTAGCGATATTTACTTACTATCAATTGTTTCCATAACAGTTAGTTGTTTCCAGTTCACCCTACGAGATACAATTCCCATAGCAATGTTCCGGACCTGCAACAAAATAATTCGGCTAATATTTAGGATAATATCTAGGCTAATATCTACTTAGGGTAAATTTTGTCTAGGCTAAGGTGTTCAACACAGTTTGTGAAATGGTTAATATCTGGTCTTTTCTGAAAATCGATGTTACTTATTCTTTTTGCTAAATTTAATTAGATGATTGGTAGAAAATTAAAACTTAATCAGCCAAAATATTATCATATTCTTCTACCAATGTACCTCACACTTATAAAAACCAGTAAGTTATCATTTCATAAATTTTATCTCTGAGCCTTCCTTAAGATACTACATGAACTCATCCTATTAAGAAATAAAAGTAGTTACACTTCACTTATCTAGTACATTACCATTTGTATTAACAATACTGCAACTTCCAAAATCCTAATTTCTTGCAAAATGACAGTTACAGCAAGTTAAGTGGATCCTTTAAAACACTCCTTATATAAAAAAAAAATGTTAACATGTCGTTCGTTTTAGTAAATGATCATCAATAAAAAAGGTAAAACTGTTATACGATCATTTAACTACAACTAAAATAGACTTCTCCGGTGTTCAGACATAAAAACAAATGGAAGCTAAAAAATACTATGAAATCATTTGGAACAACTAAATCAAGCTATTTATATAGCAAACAGGGATTAAAACTATGTTAATCATATTCACACATTTGTAAGTATGTTAAACACCTTTCTCTTCTTAATTCTTACCTCGTCAAAAACTAGACTGATAAATCTCAATGACAGTAAAAGGGTAAGCACAATTTCTGATACAGATACGCCTATGTATCTAAGAGGAAGCATAAACCATCGCAAAGCAGATGCTAGTTGTTCAGGTGTTGTGGTTGTGAGACATAAACTTGCACTTTGGAATACCTTCAAAGAAATGTGGACCAAATTCTTAGAAGTCAGAATCATAAAATAAAGTTATATTGTTTTAGAAAGCTTCAAACATGCAACAGTGTAAATTAAAAGTCGCAGCAGAAATGCAGAAAGCATCTTACTGTAAAAGTCAAACATGCAACCGTGCTTCCAACAGATAATCCTTTCCTCGTAAAGGTTAATGGACCTAACTTTGAGATTACATATGAGTAACCTGTTAAAGATACAGGAAGATTAGGAATCCCCGTCACCGCAAGTGGTGGAGTTCTTGGCTGAACAAGTGCAGGCACACCATCTGAACCAAGCCCTAATGTTATGAATAACAATGCCGATAGAAAATAAACTCGCCCCAATTGATCCTATAAATAGAAATTGGGCAAAAAAATAATAATGATCTCAAATTAACACAAATTCAAGTTGAAAACAATAGTAAGCGAAAGAAAAACCATGTCCTATGAAACCAGAGAATAAGAAAAAACAACTAAAACATGACGATTAAAAACTATAGAGAATCGGAGAATAAGACAAGGATTAACGATCGCTTACCATCCAAGCATTTCTTGGTAGAACCCAAATTGAAAGCAAAGTCAAGTATGCTACTAATCCAAATCGCATAATTATATGTGACCTTGCCGGTAGAACAACTAGAACCAAAAGCCATAACTGTAAAACCAGACCAGATGAATACCAAAATTCACAAACACATGTAACCCATAAAGCCAAAACAAACTATTCAAATAAAACATCTACATAACTGTATCTACTAATAACTGCTAACATATCCCTAATAATCTAGTGTCATAAGAACTTGCCAATGCCACTAATAGTTGATTGAGCCCTTCACTAAAAGCAGTATATCTATCAGGTATCAACAACTTGGCTATCAGTAAAACTGACAAAAATTAAATTGTTTTGCCCAAAAAAATGGCAAACCCTAAATTCCAAAACTAAAACACTAGGCAATTCAATCATGGTAAAACAAAACACCTAATAATGCACAAGAGTGAATAAAAGCATGGAATTTTGGAAGGTATGAAATAATTTTGGTTACCAATTTGACCCTTGGATCGATAGAGTGAAGAAACGTGGTGGGGGAAGAAACAAACTGTCCAATGGGACTAGCGGTAGCGCTTGAAATCAATCTGAAAACTCTATCAGCGGCAAAAGAGCCAGTGGGAATCCACTTAGACCAATTTGGTGATTGAGCATTATCATCCTTTGACGAAGCTTTGATTCTAAGAAGAATCGTTTTTCTCTTCAGCTTCGGTTTGCACAAAAGGGTTTTCTTGGAAACGGGGATTGCATAATGGCATTTTGGGAAAATCACGCCATTTGAATTCAGTGGTGGTGGTGGGAGAGAAAGACAAAGGAGAGTGGCGTGGTTACAGTTCATGGATGTTGGAGGAGATTGTGTGAGACAATGAGAGCCAAGGATTGAGGAAAGAACTTGGGTCGTTTCGTTTCAATGCAACAAAGATTAATTACTATAAAACAACTATTAAACATAAAGTAATTTTGACACAACCGGGCATTTGGTCTAGTGGTATGATTCTCGCTTTGGGTGCGAGAGGTCCGGAGTTCGATTCTCCGAATGCCCCATCTTTTTTTACTCTTATTTATGTTCAAAGTGATGTTGCTTCTAGAATGAAAGAAAAAAAACTGTTTTTAAAAAGAGAATAAAGATTAAAATGTGTTTCTTTTTGAGATGAGAATATAAGAAAACTTGTTTGGTTATATAATTTTTGTAAGAAGAGACTTATAAAATCTATTTAATAATTTAAATTTTCAGATATATTTAATATATTAAAGAAAAATAATTCATAATATTTTTATTGAAATATAAAATATTCAACTAATATACATTTATGTAGAAATAAAATATTTTTAATATGATTAATAATTAAAATTTTAAAATATTATTTTAAATAAATATGAGATTTAGTTTTACTAAATAAATTTGGAATAATAAAATAGACTAACTAGAAAAATATTATCTAATCAAATACGGTCATTTTTTAATCAAAATAATACTCATACACCGATAATATAAAGATATTTTACATAGTCAATAAATAGTCGTTAAATTTTTATAAATTATTGACTTTTATTTCAATCACATATAAAGTATTATCTATGAATAATTGTGATATATCGATTGTGTATAATATTTTACATTCACAGTGTGTAATAATTAATCTCTTTTTTAATTAAGATTAATTGTTATACACAATATAAAATATTTTACACAATCGATACATCACAATTATTCATAAATAATATTTTATATGCAATTAAAATAAAAGTCAACCATTTATAAAAATCTAATAATTATGAGTAACTGATATTATAAAATATCTTTATATTGTTGATACATTAATATTATTCTCTTTTTAATTTGCTTAAATATTTATAGAAATAAAATTTTATTTAACTTAAATTGAAAGATAAATTAAAAGAGTAAAAATATAATATTTTACTAAAAAGAAAGCATGAAATGTTTGTGAGATAAACATACGAAATGATTTACTTATAAAAATAAAAATTAATTAATTTTAAATTAAAAGAGTAAATTATATAATAAAAATGCAATAGAAAGTATTTAAAAATAAAAAAGAAACGGTACGCTTCAAAAAAGAAAGAAAGAAAGTGTATGATTGTTAAGAAGAAGAAAAAATTATAACTGTTATTAAGTAATTACTATACTGCCATTAATGAAAAGTTGTGTTTTTTTCTGTATTTTTGTTAAAATCGGTTTTTGGAAACAAAGTAAAACTGAAAACTAAAATATCTATAACTTGTTTTAGTTTTTTAGATTTAAAAACTATAAAACTAAAAATTGTTTTTGAAAACAGTTTTTAAAAAAATGGTTTCCAACAAATTTTTTCTTTTCAAATTTTCAAAAACTAAAAAACAGTTTTTAAAAACTAATTCAAACAGGCCAATTTAAATATTTTTAAAGTTAATATATTTTATAGGGTTAAATATATTATTAGTTCTTATAAATTAATCAAAAATCAATTTTAATCTTTAAAAATATTTTTTTCAAACAATCTTACATGTAAATGTTGTCGTCCATAAAATTAGTCTCTTCTGTTAATTTCTACTAATAGATGTTTACGTGAAACATGTTTAATTAATCATATGAATTTTTTAAAAATTATCCGTCAACGTGGATGTCTTTCTAATAATGTTAGATAGATAATTAGAAGAGAAATTCTCTTTATATTTAGTAGTGGTGATTTTGACCTTTAAAAATCCGAAAATACTCTCACTTCCGAACGCATCTTGTGAATTTGAGATATTGGGTTATTTCTAATATGCATATGCGAAAGAATCTCTATTTTTCATTTTCATGGAATTTCGGATATGCATATCTGAAATAACTCAATATTTTAAATTTCTTTTGATTTTATTTTGAAAAAATATTTATTTATAATATAGTTATAATATAATTAAATTGAATTATTATTAATAAAGAATAACTTAAATTTATAATTAAAAATTAAATATTAAAGTAAATTTATGATATGAAATTAAACAATTAATGCAATAATTAAATTTTTAATTATAATGGTGAAATGTTATAATTGATATATTTTACAACATAAGAAAATATAATTAAATAATCTCGGTGTTTTAGACCTTGCGTTTATGCGTCTTTGACATCTGCGCGACCTAACGTAAAAAACTCAGTTTTCTAAAAAATCGGCTCTGAATTAAAATTTTACCATGTCAATTCATCCGAAAAAAATCAGAGATTAAAATCAAAATAGGGGACCCTGCCCTAAAAACCCTAAATTCATTGTTTTTTATTTTATTTGATTTATTTTTCGTTTTCATATTTTCGAAAAAATCTGAAAAAATTTGTAGACACTTAATTTTATTTTATTTTATTTTTAGTTGTATTTTAAAAATTTTATAACAGAGTAAAATTTAGATATGCATATCTGAAATCACTTTTTTCGTAAAATAATGAGGTGTATTCGGATATGCATATCCGAATGCACCTCATTTTATCGTAAAATTCAAATATGCATATCTGAAACTACTTTTTTTGTAAAAAAAGTAAGGGGTATTCAGATATGCATATCCGAAACCACTTTTTTCATAAAAAGTGAGATGCGTTCGGATATGCATATTCGAATTCTTGGGGTATTTTGAAGAGTACTAGGTGTAAAGAGAAATTCTCTAATTAGAATCCAAAAGTCTTAAGTTATTCCACAATATTTCTCAGGACAACCCTAAAATGTCTTCTTCTTCATCGGTGTGGTCTGGTCATTCCTTCCTAGTTGCATGCATTCTTGTGGTCCTAGTTCAAAATCTTGCCAGTGTCGCGGTCCCATCTTTCCTTTCAATAGCAAGTGTTCTTGTGGTCTCAGTTATTCGCAACTTGTGGTCCCAAGTATTTCAATTTGGTTTATTGAGTAATGTTAGGATTATATTAAGAATCATTTTACTTGTATTATATATATATATATATATATATATATATATATATATATATATATATATATATATATATATATATATATATATATATATATATATATATATATATATATATATATATATATATATTGTTCTGGACTGGGCTTGCTCTCGGTCAAACTCCATATGAGGACCAGCCCAATAATGTTGTTGGAGACCAGCTGTCTGAATCTGCCTTCGACTATGTTGAGTAGTAGCCCACATAGGGATAAACCTAGGGAGATGCGAGGAGGGGCATCTCCGGTCAAAAGCACCTCGAAGAATATCCTCCAGGCTTCTCCTCGAGCAAGGTCGATCCTCCCCTGACGGTCTCATGACTGGCGAGGATCCTGCGCGACGGGCAGAAGTACCCCACGAGCATCCACCTTGTAGGGCTGACTATCAACGCCTTTGAATATCATGGAGCACACTTGACCTCGAAAAGACTGCATCCATATCCTCCTGGTCATGCGGAGGAATCCATCCAGGTAGGAGACCACGTGTTGGTCCCCATTACTCACATAGAACCTGGCAGTCTCCACTTTGGGCCTGATTGCCCAGCCTAATTAGGGGACCTTGACCCAACGCTGCTATACCCCAAAATTTTCCCTCCCATTTTTCACTCAAGATATTATCCTAGGGTTTCTCGAATACCTAATTTGGCTCAGAAGTTGATCAGACAGATTCTCTTCCTAAGCAATAAATCAACAATTAGGGTTTTGCATTTCTCAAAGAAAATTGAGTCTTCAAGGTTTCAAATGGTCTTCATAGGTCTTCGTGTCTCCTCAAGGTTGTTTAAGTCGGTTTTCAAACCTCACATTGCAAGTTTGCTCAGTCAATGGTCCAAATAACTGAAAACGACTACGTCGACTTGAAAATTGCCTTTTTGTGAAAACAAATTCAAACGATCGTAACTTCTTCATTATTCAATATTTTTGAATGGTTTTTCTTGCGTATGATTCTCCTTGATTCCATCCCAAATCTCTCTTCACAAATCAAGAACTGATTACGCGTAGAGGATCACCAAAAATTCGAATGCGTTGGAAGTCGCATCATGAATTTTGACCTAATTTCAAATAACAGTCGTCTGATTTCTAAGAATTGTGATTTCTTCAAGCTACAAGACTTTGTGACGATTATTTCTATTCATGGTCATGTGTGACGTTGCTCACGGATTTATCTTCAAAGAATCGAAGGGAAATTGGGTTTGGAAGACTTTAAAATTATCGAATCGTCGCAAGGCATTTGTTGATTTTGAATTTTTTTCTTAAACACAGTTTACTGAAAGATTAACGTTTGTTCTCAGAGCATGATTGTTTGGACAAGATGTGAAGATTAAGACTGTCATTTAAAACAATCATGATCTTGGATTAAAGTTGACCAAATGATTTACATTTATTTTTGTTTAGGAATTGGAGTACAAGGTGCATGTTTGTTTGAAATACAGTTACAAAGTTATTTGGATTATTTGGAATTCAAGTTACCAGACTGAAGCATTTTATTTCAAATATTCTGATTGGGAATTTCAAAAAAAAAAGATCCAATTAGAATACAAAATTTGTACAAGATCCTATCATACCAAAATAGTTCAAATCTCTGTATCATTGCACTGCAAATAAAATTACAAATTTTGTTTGTTTGCAAAGAATTGCAAATTTCTTGTTTACAAAGGATTTCAAGTTCTAATATTTCATTGATCACAAGGATACTTCATGCTACAATTCAAGTTCTTCCCCAATTTCAAGCACACCATCCAAGGTTGTTACAAAACTTCAATTCTTTCAATACTTTATGTTTTACAACTTATTGTTATTCAAGGTTACATTGGTAAAATTATTGAATACAATACTTCCAAAATACATCAAAGTACAAAAGGAATTGTTCTAAGTTACAGAGAAAAAAGTCAAGTGAACATTTGACCTAAGA